AAGTATATCTCTCTTCTAAGCTGAGAATTGCAGGTCTCCTTAATTGATAGCATAAATAAGGAGGAAGCAAAGTATTTTCAAGCACAGGCTATTCTATGTACTTTGAATACATTGCTGATAATACTTTGAACTTTTTAAAACTTCTTTCATCTGAACTACTGTTCACCAGGGATAAATTGAGGGTTTAAGGCCTAAAAGAACATTCACACAATGCTTTTCTTCACTACCAATGCAGAGTCAAATACAACTGATGCCAAATATCTATAATTTGACTGTCCCTAAACCTATCCTTGTGTAGAAAACAACCTGACCGACCATGGCAACCTCAAAGGGTAGGGTGAAATATAGAGTGAGTGAAATTCAAACTTTTTTACTACCGGTTCTGTGGGCATGTCAGGGGAAGGATACTGCAAAACCTCCATTCTCTCCCTACTCCTGCGGGAAGGTTAGTGCAAAATCCCCATTTCCACCCCAATCTGAGGCCAGCCAGAGGTGATATTTGCCGGTTCTCCAAACTACTCAAAATTTCCTCTACCGGTTCTCCAGAACCTGTCAGAATCTGCTGAATTTCACCCCTGACCTATATGCCCCCTCCGAAAGAACCAGTGCCTCTAAACTCAGCATAGAGGAGACACTTATATTACATTGCACTGTTTGTCTAATTATTGGTAATGAATTACATACAAAAGCTTTCTTCTGGTTTTGAAATTTGAGTGCCGCTTTAGGAAGGGATGCCTCACGTTCGGTACTTGACCTAGCAGTCAAGTTTTCAAAGATAAGCTTTCATCCTTAATGAGAGGAACATTTTTTTCTCCTATGCTGCGTCAATCCAAATCGATTCTTGCTTTTACAAAATAGCAATAGCAATAGCACCTAGACTTATATACCGCTTCCTAGTGCTTTTACAGCCCTCTCTAAGCAGTTTACAGAGTCAGCATATTGCCCAGGGGTGGGTTTCAACCGGTTCGCGGCAGTCCCTGCGAACCGGTTGGTCGGCGAACCTGGAAGTAAGTAACTTCCGGGAACGGCGAAGGGCGCGCCTGCCCGCCCGTGGTCCTTACCCAGTTTTGA